CGCAAAAAAGAGAACAATAACGAAGAAATTGGTGTAAGGTAGTGTAGTAATAACAATAGTAATAGTAGGGGAACAGAAGGGTACAATCAGAAGAAATCTTTCAGGTAAGGGAGACACAACCACTTTTTATGAAGAAAGTAAAAGAAGGTTACAGCAGGATCGCCACTGGCTTCTATTCTGAGCCATATCTGATAACGTCTCTAGCCACTGTGTAGCACCATCTCTCAGACCCCAACCAGGGAGTCGTGAACGACCAACAGAAGCCAGTCCTTTGCAGCTTTCTTTCATGCCACGACACCATGTCATATACTGACCACCTCTCCGCTTCTTCCAACCAGTCTCAGAGTCGGCAAATAATGCACGACGTGGAATTCTCTGGGACGACATTCGGAGAACATGTCCAAGCCACCGAAATCGGTGTTTCAAGATGGTGACACCAATTGCATTATCGCGTCTGTGTCCGAACACACGATGCCGAACCTCTGCATTACTAACATGGTGTTGCCACTGGATGACAGCAATCCTTCGGAGACAGTGATGATCGAACACAGAGAGTCGTCTAACGTCCTCAACTCTGAGTGACCAGGTTTCACAAGCATAGAGTAAAACTGCTCTCACCGACGCGTTGTAGATCCGACCTTTTACGGCCAGACTAACATCACGAAGGCGCCAAAGGTGGCCCAGATTGGCATAAGCCGCTCTGGCTTTCACTATACGTGCATTGATCTCATCACTCACGCCACCACCAGCACTTATGCAGCTACCCAGATACACGAACTTCTCGACTATTTCTATCTGCTCATCATCCAGGGTGAGTACAGGATTAGAATCCTGCCAGTCTTGTAGAAGTACTTTGCACTTCGGAGGTGCAAAACACATATCATACCTACGGACACTGATTGCCAACTGATTAAGTGCGGATTGCATATCTTGGGAATTATCGCACAGTACACTCTCTAGTTCCCGAACCTTTGTAAACAACGTCGTCAATTCCTTAGTCAAAAAGTCACCACCATCTTTGAAAAGAGCCGGAGGTAAGTCATCTAGGCCAGGTGATTTGTAGCGTTTCAAGTGTTGGAGTTCCTTGCAGACTTCCGCCTCATTTGGTGGATCAGTCGTCACCGGCCATGGAGGGCAGGACAGTCTGACCGATGTTGCCGGAGCAGCAGGCCAGTTGAACTGCCCTTCGAAACATTCTGCTCATCGTCCAAGACGTCGATGGATGTTAGTGATTGGCATCTCATCATTCTCGCAGATTGTTTCACTCACACCAGACTTCTTGCTGCCAGTGGCTCGGATGAGTTGGAAGAGCTTCCGGTAGTTACCAGGTGCAGCTGCTGCTTCCAGCTCATTAGCACGCTCCGACCACCAGGCTTCTCGGTCCTTACGCAAGCTTTGCACAATTTCACTACGTAACAACCTTCGTTTGTGGTCAAACTCACGGTCACCCGGAGTAGACCGACGGGCTTCAATGAGTTGTAAGGAACCAGAAGAAACCCAGTGTTTATAAGCGGGACGTTTCGCAAACCCACAACTGACTGTAGCCGCCATTTTCATGGCGTCATGCAATTGCAACCAACGCTCATCTATACTTTTCGGTGGAATAGTAGCTAGCCGAGAAGCTAGTTCGGTTCGATACTTACTAGCAACAGAAGTTGCAACCAGCTTGCTGACATCAATCCGTTGATGGCGGTCACTTCGTTGTCCACTGAAAGGTAAGGTCAGAGTCCAGATAGGTACTCCAGAAGGAGTAGCAGCCTTGTACATAACCACGCCAGTGGTAGCTGATCGCGATGTGATCAATCTGAGTCCAGGCTTGAGATGCAGAGGGAGGACGCCAGGTGGCACATCGGTGATAACTGTGCCGAAAGTTAGTGCTAGCCAGAAACAGGTTGTGGTCTGTGCACAGTTGCACTAGACGGTCCCCGTTATCTGACCTGCGACCAACGAGTCCCCATCGGCCACCTAAACGACCCTCTTCTGTGCCTAGATGCCCGACCTGAGCATTCAAGTCTCCGGCTAGTACTACAGTATCTGTCGAACGCACTTTCTGGAGAAGAACAGATAACTGGTGGTAAAACTCATCGTTGATTGCATCCGGGCTGCAATCTGTCGGTGCATAGGCGAAGATGACGAAGAGACATCGTTCCTCACGCCGATTTCTTCTCACTTTGATGGAACTCTCTAATCTAACAGCACATAACCGACTGTTAATGGGGACCAATCGATTAGTGCTGCCTCAGCTCTAGCGCTTAGTGCGACACCAACGCCAGCAACACCAGACGAAGATGCCACAGGGTCCCCGGATAAGCGCATGTAAAACAAACTTTTTGAAGCGACAGATGGAGTTCGAATTTGTAGTACTTCGCCAGAGTCTTGAATACGGGTCTCGGATAGACAGCAGACATCGATATGAAGACTTTTCGAAGACATAGCCAGCCCTATCTGTTGTCCGACCTGCATAAGTGTGCGAATGTTGAAGGCAGCCAGTTTGAACGGCGCACGTGGTTTCAGAAAAACTGCTTCAGTACTCATATTCGGTGGTAACATACAATTTTCAACCGGACAGTGACTCGAGAACGTTTAGATACAGTCGAATTTCCACCATAGACGAGCTGCTGTATAAGTCGAAAAAAATAAGTATAGACAGAGTAGGAACAAAAGAGGGTGAATAATGATGCAGTAAATAATAATAATAATAATGACAATAATAGTAATAATAATAGTATTAATAATGACAATAATTGTAATGATAATAATTTGAATCAATTGATTGTTTTTCGAAGCGAGAAAAGTAATTTCCATAGACATAGAGAGTTCATCATTTGTGTGTGGGCTGTGATACTGCTCGGGTGCCCAAACCGAAGCAGGTGGCTATCTTAGGGGGCCACTCCCCGAGCCTTTGACCTAAAGGTCTAACCCACAAGGCAGTGGAGCATCGTAAGGAGATGCAATCCCATGGTAGCCGGTGACCAACGATTGGTTCATACGCCATTTGTTCCCGCAGGATACTGGAGCCCATGTGCACCATTGGTTTGGAACCAGGGTTTTCCAACTCCTCTAGGTGAACACGGGGTGTCCACCAACCCGGTTAAAGCGCCGTACATTCGCTTTTCGTCCTCTCATTTTCGCAAACAACACCCCCGCCACGAGAAGGCAGTGAGTAGGGTTTCCCTGGCAGAGGCTGTATACACGTGGCCGTGTGAGAGTATTTCGAGAGGGAGAGCGGACTCTCCCCACTCTCGGCCATACCAGGGCATTTGTGGGGCTTCCTTACTTCCTCATCAAAATAGTGGGACACGAACCTACCCACTACAACAGGATTGGTTCACGTGAATTCGTTTCACTTTCTAAAAGACCGGGCTTTTAGGTGATACACTTGAGTTCCAAACACTTTTCGGAAATCACTTACCACTATTTAAAGTTATCGATCAGTATCACAATCTAAACACAAATAATGATCATCAATAATAAAATAAATGGATTGCTTGTCTAGTCCCATGAGTTACATGAAACATGTCAAATTCTATCATCGTATTTATTACAAACAAAACGCAATCAGATATGTTCTAGTTTTTATTTAAATACAAGCGCTTGTATTTCACGACAATACTTATTGAAAAGATTATGAAAACGCGATAGGTTTCTTTTCTCCTAGTATTTCCCATTTTATTCTGTAACAAGTTTGTTTGGCTCTTCTATAGCCTCTGTCTAAGGTATTCCTTTCCGGTTGTTTCCACTTTCTATTCACTCCTTTGATGACTCCAATTCCCAACTCACTTCCTTGATCTTGCACTTTCCCGTTTACCGTCAGGATTTCGAGCCAGGGCCTGACTCGTGATACGGTTTGCTGATTTCTAGAATGTATGTCCCATCCACCTCCATCATCCTTTTTTCATTTTCTCTCCAGCTGTAAGCTGGTTCGTTCTCTCCCACAATACGTTGTTGCTGATGAGATACGGTCAAAGGAAATTGAGTTTCTTGTATAGACAATTGTTCATAAATACTTGAACATTTTGACAGAATTTGTAATAGTTCTCCAAGTTTCAGTTCCTCACAGGAGGATTATCTTGACGTTCGGATTGAAGATTCTGACTTCGATATTGGTTGACAGTTGTTTTGAGCTCCTTATATTCTTCAATTGTGGGAATACCGCCCTTGCTTGCCGATCCCCATGTTTACGTCTGCATCATATCCTCCTTGTTTACCAATGATACTGACTGGGTACGTGAAAGACTTCGGCTCTTCCAGAGCTTCTCTATCAAGTGTGATTGGGTTGGTGTTATCCGTGTTGTACTTGAGGATCGTGCTTCACCCGTTGTGTATGTTGAGACCCACTGCTTCATAGGCTACCTCTAGACTGGCCATCGTCACCTGAATTTGTTCGTGTGTGTAGGATGGAAGGGCTAGGTCATCTTCTAAGTCCGAATGGTCTAGTTACATCCATGGTGTTCGTCATACTCCGTGCTTCCCCTTAGATGTGGTGGTCTTGATCATCCACTTGACCACCAGGAGAGAAAGGTAGAGAGTAAACAGCCTTGTCCACATACCACTAGTTTGGACCTATCACGCCTATAATAATCTCCGTCGCTCCTTTTACTCTTACACTTCGGTCGCACACTACCTGAAATTCTAATTAATTAACCAATAATATATTTATTTAGCTCTTGAAATCGTCATCTAATATCCGAATTTTCGCTCATCTATTTTTCATGTTGCAACTAATCAACCTCTTGCATGGTAATGTAATACATACTGTTCCTATAAACTTTATTGCTTTACAAATGACGTGATCACTCAGATTGAAGGATGTACAAGCCCACAAGTAACTACCAATCTGAGTAAAATTAGCACAGTCGAGAGGTTAGACTACCGTCCAGCAAAAATTATAAATTGCCCTTAATTGTGTCTAGAAAGCAAGGAGCCGGTGCAAATAAATGAATCGGTTTGTACAAAGTCGTTATAAGAATATTGGATATTGGGTAATATATTGGAACTACCATTGACCTGCAGCTTTAGAGCGGGTAGACGATAGTGGCGCTACAGCTGACTTAGCAAACCAGCAGGAAATGAAAAGTGGGACTCAACAACTTCCTGAGAATGATATGGGTCCCCTAGCGGCTTCGGATAAGTTAATGGATGGGTCACCCAGTGATAACCTGAAGGATGCAGATGAGTTATTACTAGAAGATATCCGTGATCAGATCCGATATATCGAAAAATCTGTAATGACCAAAGAGATATATTATATGACAAGGGTTGTGCGTGGCCTGTCTGGCGTTCGTCGACGACTCAATTGTAATGTTTTGAGAGGCTTAATGCAAGGTTATTTCCCAAATCCTTCCCCACAAAAGACTTATTTTTTGGAGTTTCTCCCTGAGGTTTGTTTTCAGTTTCACTACTAAGTTTTAGGCAATGGACACTGATTGTCCGTTATCATCGTTCCGTCCTCGTGCTGGAAAGCTTAACACCCCATTAATACCTGAGGTAGAGGTATACTTGCACCTCCTACTTGTAATGTTTTTGATTGATGAAAACCACTTAGAAGAGGTAAATTTACCCAACATTTCATGATACTCTTCACGGTTCGTAATTTTATTCATTAAACTTAAGGTCTGCATAGCTTCACCTGCATTTTCACACATTGCAAAGTGCCCAATTTCAACTCATGTTTATTAGATTAGGACAAAACGTGAGCTAAATATATTGCTTGCTGGAAGTAATTTTTCTGCAAACATGGTACGACTAAGCCTTTCAATACAGCTGTAAGTTCTTTGTCCTAGTTACGTGAATCAACCACTTCATAAAGAATTAGAAAAGATATCTTAATGACGCAAATAGTCTCACCAAATATTATCAAAATCTCGCTGTATTATGTCCGTATTTCAAATTATGTGGTTGAACCCAAGATTTAACCTTACATTCTAAAGAAATGAACATATGCCATTGGTTTACGTTGTGGCTTAGTGTTACAAAGAACATGTGTGTTAATGGACGAATTCGTTATATATTCTCGACTAAGTTAAGCACTATAGGATTCCTACTCACTCTTAACTTTTCATCCAAGTAAACGTTCAAACTCGCGTGTAGGGACTTTGTATATCAATAATAGGTCAAAATGACTTCATAATGAACCACACTAGCTTGGGGCTTTCTACGCTTCTTCTGCGAAAGTACATTTTTCTTACTCTGTCTAGATTGCTTTTGACGATTTACTTCAATTATTTATATTCCTACTAATACAACATTATTTCGATAACTTTGTTCGGTGGTTTCAGGCTTACTGTACTTACTATTTATGTAAGATTTCAGTGAGACGAAACATCAGAATACATGATCAATTTAAAATAATGATATTGTGAAGTAATAGGTAAAGAATCTCGGATATTATTACTAATATGGAGTATTGACTGACGAAGAAAGTATTCAATATACCTCGCTTATCGTAAACAGTTTCTCAGAGGTTGACGTAATTGTCTTATGCGGCAATCGTCACAAATCAGTAAATCTTTTAATAGACTTATTTCGTACCACTTAATCACTTATTGCTACCTTTCTGTATGGCTTATGCTCTCTTTTATGTTACTATAATTTTTGGCTCTATATTTCATCTAAAATTCCTTTAGTCTCAACGGACACTCAAGTATGAGAAGTATGTTTTACTTGTGCTAATTTAAAGACACTGTATCAAATTTTCATTCGAACTACAGGCCTCTGCCCAAGTACAGATGGTTCTCACATAAACCGTTAGCTCATACCTGAGCATACAAACAAGAATTTGATAAATTCTTTTGTAATTATTTGGTCAGATTCCGGTACAATAGCGTTGTTTCGTTGAACATTAGAGCAAAAGCGGCACTAGTTGATTGGATTTCAGTCGATAGTTGTTTGTACGCTTGAAAGCTAAAGGATCTAGTTATAGTCAGGAGCAAGAAGTGGAATCTTTGTAAGTCGTAATGGACTGACAGATTTCAGTCCTATACATCTGTCGGTATGGGTGCCCGGGATGTATTACAACCCATACAAAAATCAAGTGACTTGTGTAGCGCATATGTACTCGGTGCTACTTTGTACCAATATTTATGTGTCCAAATAAATAAATCGTACATACAAAAAACTTGACACCTATCTGCTCTTCTCACCCAATCCTAGCATCCACAAATAATGTATAGTGTGGAAGACACTGGGACCACGTGACCAAATCACAGTCTATGTTTCAAGATAGTTGCACTAACTGAATCATTGTCACTGTGCCCAAATACATATTGCCGGACATCAGTATTGTCAGCAGTGTTGCTACTAGATGTTGACAATCCTTATTTATTTATTTGAACACATGAATATTGGTACAAGAGAGCGCCAATATATATGCGCCACACAAAACAATGAGAATTCGAAGAGAAATAGGGAAAAAAGCTAAGGAGCGCAAAAAAGAGAACAATAACGAGGAGATTGGTGTAACGTAGTATGGTAAAAATGAGGGAACGGAAAGGTACAATCAGAAGAAATCTTTCAGGTAAGGGAGACACAACCACTTTTTATGAAGAAAGTAAAAGAAGGTTACAGCAGGATCGCCACTGGCTTCTATTCTGAGCCATATCTGATAACGTCTCTAGCCACTGTGTAGCACCATCTCTCAGACCCCAACCAGGGAGTCGTGAACGACCAACAGAAGCCAGTCTTTTGCAGCCTTCTTTCATGCCACGACACCATGTCATATACTGACCACCTCTCCGCTTCTTCCAACCAGTCCCAGAGTCGGCAAATAATGCACGACGTGGAATTCTCTGGGACGACATTCGGAGAACATGTCCAAGCCACCAAAATCGGTGTTTCAAGATGGTGACACCAATTGCATTATCGCGTCTGTGTCCGAACACACGATGCCGAACCTCTGCATTACTAACATGGTGTTGCCACTGGATGTCAGCAATCCTTCGGAGACAGTGATGATCGAACACAGAGAGTCGTCTAACGTCCTCAACTCTGAGTGACCAGGTTTCACAAACATAGAGTAAAACTGCTCTCACCGACGCGTTGTAGATCCGACCTTTTACGGCCAGACTAACATCACGAAGGCGCCAAAGGTGGCCCAGATTGGCATAAGCCGCTCTGGCTTTCACTATACGTGCATTGATCTCATCACTCACGCCACCACCAGCACTTATGCAGCTACCCAGATACACAAACTTCTCGACTATTCCTATCTGCTCACCATCCAGGGTGAGTACAGGATTAGAATCCTGCCAGTCTTGTAGAAGTACTTTGCACTTCGGAGGTGCAAAACACATATCATACCTACGGACACTGATTGCCAACTGATTAAGTGCGGATTGCATATCTTGGGAATTATCGCACAGTACACTCTCTAGTTCCCGAACCCTTGTAAACAACGTCGTCAATTCCTTAGTCAAAAAGTCACCACCATCTTTGAAAAGAGCCGGAGGTAAGTCATCTGGGCCAGGTGATTTGTAACGTTTCAAGAGTTGGAGTTCCTTGCAGACTTCCGCCTCATTTGGTGGATCAGTCGTCACCGGCCATGGAGGGCAGGACAGTCTGACCGATGTTGCCGGAGCAGCAGGCCAGTTGAACTGCCCTTCGAAACATTCTGTCCATCGTCCAAGACGTCGATGGATGTTAGTGATTGGCATCTCATCATTCTCGCAGATTGTTTCACTCACACCAGACTTCTTGCTGCCAGTGGCTCGGATGAGTTGGAAGAGGTTCCGGTAGTTACCAGATGCAGCTGCTGCTTCCAGCTCATTAGCACGCTCCGACCACCAGGCTTCTCGGTCATTACGCAAGCTTTGCACAATTTCACTACGTAACAACCTTCGTTTGTGGTCAAACTCACGGTCACCCGGAGTAGACCGACGGGCTTCAATGAGTTGTAAGGAACCAGAAGAAACCCAGTGTTTATAAGCGGGACGTTTCGCAAACCCACAACTGACTGTAGCCGCCATTTTCATGGCGTCATGCAATTGCAACCAACGCTCATCTATACTTTTCGGTGGAATGGTAGCTAGCCTAGAAGCTAGTTCGGTTCGATACTTACTAGCAACAGAAGTTGCAACCAGCTTGCTGACATCAATCCGTTGATGGCGGTCACTTCGTTGTCCACTGAAAGGTAAGGTCAGAGTCCAGATAGGTACTCCAGAAGGAGTAGCAGCCTTGTACATAACCACGCCAGTGGTAGCTGATCGCGATGTGATCAATCTGAGTCCAGGCTTGAGATGCAGAGGGAGGACGCCAGGTGGCACATCGGTGATAACTGTGCCGAAAGTTAGTGCTAGCCAGAAACAGGTTGTGGTCTGTGCACAGTTGCACTAGACGGTCCCCGTTATCTGACCTGCGACCAACGAGTCCCCATCGGCCCCCTAAACGACCCTCTTCTGTGCCTAGATGCCTGACCTGAGCATTCAAGTCTCCGGCTAGTACTACAATATCTGTCGAACGCACTTTCTGGAGAACAGATAACTGGTGGTAAAACTCATCGTTGATTGCATCCGGGCTGCAATCTGTCGGGGCATAGGCGAAGATGACGAAGAGACATCGTTCCTCACGCCGATTTCTTCTCACTTTGGTGGAACTCTCTAATCTAACAGCACATAACCGACTGTTAATGGGGACCAATCGATTAGTGCTGCCTCAGCTCTAGCGCTTAGTGCGACACCAACGCCAGCAACACCAGACGAAGATGCCACAGGGTCCCCGGATAAGCGCATGTAAAACAAACTTTTTGAAGCGACAGATGGAGTTCGAATTTGTAGTACTTCGCCAGAGTCTTGAATACGGGTCTCGGATAGACAGCAGACATCGATATGAAGACTTTTCGAAGACATAGCCAGCCCTATCTGTTGTCCGACCTGCATAAGTGTGCGAATGTTGAAGGCAGCCAGTTTGAACGGCGCACGTGGTTTCAGAAAAACTGCTTCAGTACTCATATTCGGTGGTAACATACAATTTTCAACCGGACAGTGACTCGAGAACGTTTAGATACAGTCGAATTTCCACCATAGACGAGCTGCTGTATAAGTCGAAAAAATAAGTATAGACAGAGTAGGAACAAAAGAGGGTGAATAATGACGCAGTAAATAATAATAATAATGACAATAATAGTAATAATAATAGTATCAATAATGACAATAATTGTAATGATAATAATTTGAATCAATTGATTGTTTTTCGAAGCGAGAAAAGTAATTTACATAGACATAGAGAGTTCATCATTTGTGTGTGGGCTGTGATACTGCTCGGGTGCCCAAACCGAAGCAGGTGGCTATCTTAGGGGGCCACTCCCCGAGCCTTTGACCTAAAGGTCTAACCCACAAGGCAGTGGAGCATCGTAAGGAGATGCAATCCCATGGTAGCCGGTGACCAACGATTGGTTCATACGCCATTTGTTCCCGCAGGATACTGGAGCCCATGTGCACCATTGGTTTGGAACCAGGGTTTTCCAACTCCTCTAGGTGAACACGGGGTGTCCACCAACACGGTTAAAGCGCCGTACATTCGCTTTTCGTCCTCTCATTTTCGTAAACAACACCCCCGCCACGAGAAGGCAGTGAGTAGGGTTTCCCTGGCAGAGGCTGTATACGCGTGGCCGTGTGAGAGTATTTCCAGAGGGAGAGCGGACTCTCCCCACTCTCGGCCGTACCAGGGCATTAGGGGGCAATCCTTAGGAGACGACGTTGACTAAACACAAAGTTGCTGACTCGGAATGCGTGTTTGGTGATAGCGTTCATAGATGTGATTAATCCATGGTTTATGTTCGTTCAGACAAGACAAAATTTCCGCCATATTCGAGCTGCTCTGCAAGTTGAAAATTATAGGTAAACAAAGGGTTGGGACAAAACAGGATCAAAAAGTGGGGTAAGGCCAAATAAAAACACTTGAATTGAATAGGTACTGACTATATCTTGAGTTAATGAAGTGAATTAGTTTCTTCGTAATTATTCATTGTCATATTTGTGAGGAGACCTAGTCGAAGCTACTGGTTTTCTAAAGGAGCCATTTCTCGAATCTTTGACTTAGAGGTGTAATCTGAAAGACTGAAGCAACAACGAATGCTGTCATATTCTAGCAGGTGAACAACGATAAATTCATACGCCATTTGGACTTAGGACTCTGAAGCCTGTGTGCACCGTTAGTTTCGGACCAGAGTTTTTCAACTTGCCTAGGTTTATCCTCAGTACCCACCAAGCCGGTTTAAGCTCCAAACATTTACTTCTCTTCCTCTGACTTCCGTAAACAAAACTCCTTCCATGAAAAGGTAGTCAATCGGACTTTCCTAGCAGTGGCTATAAACACGTGACCATATAAGGGCATATCAATCTTATATTTCCAAGCGAATAACAAACAAACCTTGTTTGTTAGATATAATCATATTTTCTAAGGAATTCTATTCTCGGTCAGATATGTAAGATTTTGGGTGGTCTGTTGGGAATTGTTCGTCACAGGCTAGATAACAGTAGCCAGCTTTTTTTAGTTTCGTGGCTCACAACCAATTATCGTTAAGACCAACATCACTAATAAGATATTTGGCTTGCTACCTAAACAACTCATACCTCACCTTAAATTAATCATATTACAGCCAGCTACCAATGACAGATTCGTACAAAACTACCATTTCGTTTGAAGCATCTCTCCAAATTATGATCTTGATCATCTTGGGTTCTAGCAGTCAAAAGCTACGTTTCAAATTGTTTAAACTCAGTATATTGGCTTTTTTAATTTGTTTTAACACATAGATATTGGCACAAGGAGGCACCAAATACATATGCGCCACACAAATCTCATTTGACATGTGGGAGGGTTGTGATACTCCCTGGATGCCCAAACCGGAGCAGGTGGTTTTCTTAGGGGGCCACTCCCCGAGCCTTTGACCTAAAGGTCTGTTCCACAAGGCAGTGGAGCATGGTAAGGAGATGCAATCCCATGGTAGCCGGTGACCAACGATTGGTTCATACACCATTTTTTCCTTCAGGATTCTGGAGCCCATGTGCACCATTGGTTTGAAATCAGGGTTTTCCAACTCCCCTAGATGGACTTTCCATGTCCACCAACCCGGTTAAAGCGCAGGACATCCGCTTTTTGTCCTCTCAATTTCGTAAACAACGCCCCCTTCGCGAGAAGGCGATGAGTAGGACTTCCCTGGCAGCTAGCATTCTAACTAAACATCATTGATCTAGATTTAAGACTTTGTCAGCCTACCAAAAGATGTACGTGAGAACTGTTGTTAAGAAACAGGATCTAGTGTCTCGCCGTGTGTTTCAGTACAGTGCGATTTTTATACGAGTCTATTGTACACTAAATTTCATTGCAGTAACATTAATTTGCATTACATCTCTGCTAGGCATGCAAATGTTCCAACCTCCTAATGGATCGTTTAAGTGCCACTGGTCGACGCTCTATGGCACTCCTTGCAAGTCGGTGTTATTATTATCACAGTCGTAGCTACGAACTTGTTGGACGCTTGGATTCTGTGCGATCATTTTTCCATGCTCGTTTATCAACTGCTACTCTTAGATCAGTAAGTGTTTTGTAAAATTTTATTGTCACCATACAAAGCTACACTTTTTATTTTTCAATAACCGTAGAGAGACAGAAAATAGTGCAGTTGTAAGCATAGTCAAAGGATGAATAAAATAAGTGATTATGTAGTAGTTATTCACTGTTTCAATCCAATCACTAGGTTAACAGTTTACCAATAATTTCATGGGTTTTACAAGTCATTTACACACCTACGAAGATATCGGACTTAAAATAAGAAAGCATTCCCACTATCTGTCATGTCGTGTGATAATTATATATTCACTCGTTCAAGCTGATCAGATGCACACTTCTATCTGTTATGTGATACACCTACTCTGGTTTTTAGACTTTAGATATCTGGTATGTCGGCAATTGATTAAAATGTGAAACTTAGTACATTTATTATATGAAACCCTTATCTCAATATTTTCAATTATCTTATCAACACACCGTTTAAAGAAAAATGATTCAAGATAGCAATGATAAATAGTGGTTTGTTGAATAATGTTTGGAATAAACCAGATTGATTAGTATTCATACGTGTGGTTTTGACTGATTAAGACGGATTTGAATTTCGAAAGGAGCATTAATCTACAATATATACCTACTACTGATGAGGCGAATCGTCCTTATAAATGCGCATGTTACACTCATATAAATTTATACTTCCATGCATAAACACCCTAAATCTATAACACAAACCTCTACGTATAGAATTGAAGAGATTGACTGCTAATACATTATGCACTCCCAGCATCAGGAGATTAATTTTTGTTATGGTCAAATGAGTTAGTGGTTGGGCTATCTAGGTTTCAACTTCTGAATCGCTGGTTTGAACTCTATTCCATTTAATTCAATATGGATAGTTGAGGAATATCATCTATAATATCAGTCAGTCAGTCAGTAACAACGTAGAACTTCGTACGTACGTACGTACATCAGTTCGAGTTGCCACACCACCTTAGCACAGAGATGCAGTTGTCGATTCAAATCCCGTAGTGGTAGAGGTAGCAAGAGTATAAGCAGTAATCGCGAAGATTAGGGTTTGGAGATGTTATTTAAAGAGTATAATCCAGTGAAATTAATTTGGAAAGAGGAAAAAAGGGACATGAATTTAGAAGATTAGAATTTGGGAGAACACAGAGAGTGGATGCACATGCGCACACCATTGCAAGCGATTTTCAGCCATGTCATTCAGGGTCTCTAACCATTGGTTGCTATCATCTCGTGGTCCCCAACCAGGTAGTCTACACCTACCAACATGACTCAGTCCACTTGTCAGTGACTTCATGGACTTGTGCCATGTTTTGGTCTGGCCGCCTCTAGCTTTCTTCCAACCTACTCCTATACCACTGAACATAGCACGTCGAGGCAGTCGGTCGTTGGGCATACGTAACACGTGTCCCAGCCATCTCAACTGATGAAGTTTCGCTACGTCATCAATTGATTTGCCATCCTTACCTAGTACGCGTTTCCTAACAACTGCGTTACTTACTCGATAGTCCCAGGATATACGAGCAATATTTCGAAGACACCTATGACCAAATACTAGTAACCTACGAATATCCTCTACTCTTACCGGCCATGTTTCACTGCCATAAAGTAGGACAGAACGGACTGCTGCGCAGTAAACCCGTCCTTTGGTTGATAGACGGATATCTCGCCTACGCCATAAATGACGCAAGTTGGCAAATGCTAGTCGAGCCTTCTGTATCCGTGCTGAGATTTCGTCACACACCAGACCACAAGGGCTGATGGGACTTTTAAGATAAGTGGAGCGGTCGACACGCTCAACTACTTCACTCCCTATCATTAATTCGGGTGTCGATGTAACCCAATCCTGAAGCAACATTTTGCATTTCGAGGGAGAGAATCGCATCCTGAACATGCTTGCATTGTTGCTTAGAGTGGTCATAAGACTCTGCATTTTGTCAGCGTCTTCACCAAATAAAACTGTCATCAGCATATTCTAAGTCAACAAGTGAACCTCCCGGTGGAAGTTTAACCCCTGGAAATTTAGATGAGGAGAGTGTTATCTTTAAAAGTACATCGACCACAAAGTTGAACAAGAATGGGGAGAGTGGACAGCCTTGACGAACACCACTTGAGGCGATCAATTCGGATGACAGGTCGCCTTAAGCTCTCACTCTACCAGTTGTGTTCGAGTAGAGAGCCTTCATAAGGTTAATGTACTTTTTTGGTACTCCTTTCAGTGACAAACACTGCCATAGAACCTCACGATCAACAGAGTCGAATGCCGCCTTAAGGTCGAGAAATACTACCATTGTGGGGCGTCTGAATGTGTGTCTGTGTTCTAGAACCTGACGTAGTGTGAATACCTGATCTATACAACCACGTCCAGGTCGAAAACCGGCCTGGTTTTCTCTAATCTGCTCTTCATGAGCTTTAGTTAGGCGTCAAAGTATTGTTGAGGCTAATATTTTAGACACTATATTAGTCAAACTGATTCCTCTGTGATTGTCACAAGAGGACTTTTGTCCTTTCTTATAGACTGGCACAATCAGTGATTGAGACCAGTCAGATGGGTTTGCGTCCAGTTCCCAAATTCTACCTAAGACCTCGGTTAATCTCATTGCTAATACTGGACCACCATCCTTAAAAATCTCAGGAGTAAACCTGTCAGAGCCTGCTGCTCTCCCTCGTTTCAGATTTCCTATGGCTTTTTCAACTTCACCGAACAGGAACATTGTGGCTCGACATGAAATACAGGAATTTGTGCTTGGTTTAATGTTAACAGTTTGTTTACCAGGTACAGATACCTGTATCTGGATTTAAGGCACACTCTAAGTGTGTGGACTAGAAATACTGCCCTGTTTTTCAAACCTAATTATGTTGAATGGAGTTCAAACCTGAGATTAGAAGTCGAATGCTTTGACCACTAAGTCATAGATTGCTTTCTAAGCTGGAATAATAATAACTAATTAATTACTGACACCTCAAGGTTAGTATTAATTAGAGTTGCTTTTTTGAGTCAACTCAGTTCTATTTCTTCGTGTGCGTAGTTTGTCTCGAGGTATTCAATATACTTGATTTGTATCAAATAAATAAGTATTAGACATTTGCTAACAATTTCCTTGTTTCCTCATTTATTTGGTCCGTATTCTGCTCAGACTCACTATATATATATATATATCATGTCCTTACAGTTCCATAAATTATTCAAGTTGGTGATATTTCTAATTATGATTTGAAGGGGATGTGTCGTCTTATTCACATTTTATATAGCGTTTATCTAATTACTATTCTTAAAAAGTTATCTGCCACTAAATTTTGTTGGGTTGTTTCATTGTGTATGTCTGTCACTATCAGCATGTTACTTGTATGTAATATCATTTAGTTATGATTTCCTATGGTGATAATTTCTATTTAGAATTTTGATACTAAAGCTGTGCTAATTAACTTGTTGTTGCGCAACTATTTGCATTATCAATTGCATGAACAAGCACATAAGCTTGTCTCACGTGTAGTATTCCCGGAAAGTGCGCCAAATAACGAATGGGCTAGATATTTGTATTATTTAGGTAAGTTAATCATCCTAATGTTTATGTGCTTTTTGTCTGAGTTATTATTTTACATTGCATAATGTTACTATAAATCTTTATTTACTTGCTAATCAGGGTTCTTTTAACCTGTTCGTTTTACTTAACTAATACTGCTTTACTTATTGAAAAAGTAAAGTGTTTGTCTTACAGAGAACCTTGAACAGTTTGAACTTCTGTGACTTCGAATACTTGTTTGCTTATAGCTTTTATTGCCATGAAATTTACCCCTCTTGTTTTTCTTTTACACTAACAAGGCTTAACGTTGTTATCTCCAGGATTTTACTCCTACAAATTCAACAGTTGTCATATGTGCTCAAGATTATATTGTCTAGCTGTCAACCATCGTGCTGATTCCATATGATCTACTGTAATCATACCGACTTAAAGTTGTGAATAGTATTTCCACATATTGTTGTTTTGTGAATACTCTCTCATTAAATTCTAGTCTTATTGGATCTAATGTTGCACTCTCCTGTTGTTAAATGCCATACCATTAGTATTCAACTAAATTCTGATAAATAATTTTACGTGATCTAAATAGCCTATTATTCTGCAAATCACATTTTCATCGAGAACAAAAATAGTTTCTAATAACAACTGAGTGGTATATCAATTGTTTCTTCTATAGCCATAGAGAAGATTTGTTTACGTAACCTGAAAGGATTAGCTATCTCAGATAATACCCTCAAGGTATTTTACACGTAAGTTGTATGCTGCTACTAGGGTGCATAAAGTTGAGTGTGTTTAGACTTGTGACCTGTTGACTGAAAGTGAAGTACTTTAACTACTAAGCCAACGTGTACTAAACTACGTCAATCCCAATCGAAAGATGCTCATGTGCTTAAAACATGCTCAGTATTTAATAACCATCTTCTCACTACGTGTATAGATATCTTATTGTTGATGCTTATCTTATAAAAAGTCGGTAAATCTTTTTAAGAAAATATCTCATGAATTTTTTTGTTATACATACTAGGAAATGTAGTCACTTCAGTATATATGTCCATTTTACTAGGTAGAATCAAGGCAATACAATTAGACTATTCATCAGCTCATGAACATCTGGTTTCTGCTTTGCGTAAAGCTCCTCAACACACAGCCATTGGTTTTAAGCAAACCTTGCACAAATTAAATACAGTTGTAGAACTATTACTAGGTGAACAGCCAGATCGTTCTATATTTCGTCAAACGACATTTAAAGCTGCTCTACAACCATATTTTCAGCTGACTCAAGCAATTCATGCAGGAGATTTATCTCGATTTAACGATACCCTTCGAGTTCATGGAGCTCAGTTTTCAGCTGACAAAATGTATACACTAATTATTCGATTACGTCATAATGTCATTAAAACCGGTGTTCGACGAATATCCTTAAGTTATTCTAGAATTTCTCTAGTAGATATCGCCAAAAAGCTCCAATTGGATAGTGTCGAAGACGCAGAATACATAGTTGCAAAGGTAAGTACCCTAAAATATGTTATCAATAAAATCTAATTTCCCTTTGCTCGTTTTTGCAAAGACAACAATATATCATTATGGTTCATCGTAAATGTCGGGTTTCAGCTGAGCCATTCGTAAATATCGCATCTACAAACTCAAGCAGTTTTGGGATTCAAATGAAATATGAATTACTATACTTAATCAAACAAAGTTCTCACTATTTGTTATGAACCGAGCGATTGATCGCAGTAGGTAGGGAGGGGAAAATGTTATAACTTATTGTTATCATCATCAATGTTACTATTACGTGTTGCCACTAGATCGTAATTGTAAGTAGATGGGTGTAATAATATAGCACAGTATTAATATAAATCCTAGTGGATACCACAACTTCACATTAAAAAAATGCTGCCAAGCGATAGAAATGATGAGTATGCATGTCGGTGTCCTAATAGTTGGTGACCAGAAAAGACAATTATATTTGTCTACTTGGTTTGTTTATTATATTTATCACGTTTAAAAAAAGAATTTTTACTGAATGCTTACTGAATTTTGGGTAATTTCCAAAATTATAGTCTTCATACCTTGTCGGTTTTACGATTCGTACTCAATCAATGTTAGGATTTGTATATCCTTTCTCTTCCACACTTTTCGTGTAATAGCCACTGATTCATACTCATTTGTTACTTGAAGTTTTGTGATACTGTCTGAGTATTCAGTACAGAAGAGGAGGTTGATTCAAATTTGTAATCTACTCGGTAGATTCAATCGGGTGATGTAAACACTGGATTACCTCTCCAAAATTTAAAAATTTGGGTGAATCTTGGTCCTCAAGAATAGGATAAATAAAATATTTGGTGAAACTTTTATGCACTAGCTAAACTACCTCACAACTCGTACTCCGAAAAGGTTAAAAAGACTCATTCAACCCTCTCCCCTGGCTGCCAACTAAGTTGAGAAGTTCCGTTTTTACATAAAAGGCTTTTTAATTGAAATTCCAGGAGAATTTCTTTTTATATAATAAAGTACCATACTTACGTACAAAATATTGACACAACGTAAACATGTCATAGGCGGTTGGAAGGAATAAGTTTGTAGGTCATTCACTCCCCCAATCAGTTAAGATCTGAATGCTGACTTTCGTAATATCAGTTAAATTGATATGGTTTTTCCACTATAATATCCAGTTGTATTAATTGTTTAACAATTTTTCGTTTGACATCTTCAACTCGTAATCACGGAGCGTGATTAATTCGATTGCGACTTAACTTCCCGTGGTTTTTATTAAGTAAATCTTCTTTGTAAGGTTTATACTTTGTCATAGCAGAGCTAGGATAGAAGGAAGTTGTAGTATTGAAGTGTAGTTAAGAGCTGTCGCCGTTAACACAGTCATATAAAAAACTCGATACCTTCCACCATAAAACATGTGGATATATGTAATGCATCAAATGTATAATTATGTCAAATATGTAGTCTTCTCCATTTTAAAAGTTCGGGTTTTTATTAGATTTATAAGTTTAAATCACTGCACATTCGTTTGAATAAAACAAAACCTCGAAGGAATTCACATTCGTTATCCATTTTATGCATTCGACGTCACTTTATTAATTATATCGGAATATAATGAATTGGAAAAATATTTGTCCCCTATAGTTTCATCTTCCGAATCTTTTCCTGATGGGTGTACAATAGCTAATGACCAAATAAATACTATTCTTTTGGGAGATGTACTACAGTTTGATATATTTTTTACACGGGAATTATGTTGGCGACTTTCATTTCAGTACAATGTCAGATATTAACCCGCTCGTTAAATGACTTCATTTCAATGAATCTGATTTAAACTTGATCATTGACTTATCATGTCAGTTTGTGAATAGAAAACGTCAAGCTGACATATACCATTATTTTTTTATATTCCACAAGAAAAAATCCTTAAGAGATCTATAACAGTGACTGGTAACTGGAATATTTTGACTTTCTCACTGATTTATTTCTTCTTCATGCTTCTTTTCTACAATAATAATTATTATTATTACCACTATGATTATTGTTGATATAACGGATGTTTAAACTATTTATCTCAAGTATCACATTATATCAGAACTAGAACTCACTACCCAGAATAGAGGACCATAGTAACACTGGAGAATATTTTATTCAATACAATTACAATTAGTCACTCTCGGTGAGTCCAGAGTAGAAATCAATGTCAGGAAGGGAAATCACATATTTAATAGTCAGTAGTCTGTGTCTGTTTATCCGCAATCAATGATCGGCCATATTTTACTTCCACTACCACACTTCACTTATTATCATGGTTATTACAATCAACTGTCTCAATCAATCTTGTTTCTTTTTTCAAAACAAAATTATTCCGATAGGCTATTCATGATGGTGTGATTGATGCTATAATTAATCATAAAGAAGGTCATGTAACTACAAATGAAACGTTAGATTTATATTCAACACGTGAACCTTTTAATCAATTTCACCAACGTATTAAATTTTGCCTCAGCATACATAATCAAGCGGTCAAAGCAATGCGTTATCCCCCGAAACAATACTCTAAAGATATTGAATCTGCTGAAGTAAGTTATAATAATAATAATAATAATCATTACTATTATTTTCTCTCTGTATGTTGGATGAGACTATAATTCATGGACGACCTTTGAGCGACGCTAAAGTGACCTTGAGAGTGTCTTCCTAATAACTAGGACCAAATAAGGGTTATAAAGCAGTTTGGAGAATAAGGATTATGATTTACAGTTGATGGTTAGAATTAGAAATCAGATTTGGGGTTTTCATCACAAACTGAAACCAACTATAATGCCAAGACTCTATTTAGCCAAATGGGTGAATGAATTTCGCGGCAAAATCTAAGACCTATTAACGTAAATCTGATTGGTTCGTTCATAAACTATAGTCTCGCCGTTCGAGAAATAATTTTGTCTTCATAGATATTTACTGGTTCATATTCAATGTATCATATTTGGATAAAAAAAGATGACTGGAAAATCTTTTACCATACAGAAAAATATATCAGAAGGGGTTTTGTGGATATTATAGTAATTTCAGTGCTTGAAATCATGAATCAGTTGAAGCTAGACCATATGTACGTCGTTAGTTTTAGATCTCTGATCGTTGTCTATAATCAGATTTGAACGAACAAACCTGCACTTAAACAGTCTGGCAACTAAGTTCATTCATCAAGATATATATATATATACGAAAAGCGAATATCCGGCGCTTTATACGGGTTGGTGGACATGGAAAGTCCATCTAGGGGAGTTGGAAAACCCTGATTCCAAACCAGTGGTACACATAGGCTCCAGTATCCTGAAAGAAAAAATGGCGTATGAACCTATCGTTGGTCACCGGCTACCATGGCACTACATCCCCTGACGTTGCTCCACTATCTTGTGGAACAGACCTTTAGATCGAAGGCCTTTTTAAAAAACCACCTGCTTTGGTTTGGGCACCTGCCCAACATCCTAGCCCTCACACAAGTCGAATGATTTATGTGCCGCATATGTATTTGGTGCCCCTTCGTACTAATGTTTATGTGTTCAAATAAATAAACAAAATTTGGGACAAATAACTGGCTTTCAAATTTATTACTTGATCGAAGTTTTTAATTGAATATTTGTTTTCATTTGTTTGTTTTATACAAATGTATACATTATCTTGCTTTTTCAAGGAACGTCGTGAACGTGAACAACAAGAGCTTGAAAATGCGAAGGAACTATCTGAAGATGAATTTGACGGATTCCCATGAATCTCATTCATGTTGGCATTAATAATAAATGACAATGAATAATACTTATTCCCTAACACGATCCATTTTTTAAGACTCAATTGTTTTGTATTGAATACTTTTTGTGACATATATATATATATGTCCAGTAATCTTGTAGCATACCATGTTATTGTTGAAAAATTTGTCTGGAATTAGTGTTTTTTTTGTTGTTGTTAATTGTAGTTTATTAATCGAGAGGAGAGTAACCTACTCGTAAATGTCTTGTTTAGTACAAATAAGATATATTACAGTTATATTGTACAAGATATTGTCATCAATGATTACAATAATAATGGTCGATTAACCGGTTGCTGTGTTTATGAATTGAAGTAAACATTATTATAATGCATACAAAACGAAGTGACGATATTGTAAATAAATAGGAGTAGATTCCATAGAAATAATAATGGAAAGTAGTATTGTACATAACGCCAATGACAACCGTTCATTTAAAGTGCTCAACACAATAGGAAACTACAGTAGGATTATCGCTGGGTTTTATCCAAAGGGTCCTAACTATCCTACGCACGCTAATCATGCAAGACTATACTTCATTCCACGACACAGCCGTAAATCCACCGCTTCAACGTCGACAATTAGAAAGCCATTAGACCATTCATAAAACGTGACTGTGTCACGTTGTAAATGATATTTTAAGATGACCACTTATTGTGCGACTCAGTTATCACAGTGTTGCCTGCATATACGAGCGTTCCACTTTCTAATTTAAGATTAATCGAACGTATGAAGCTGCCGAACATCGCTTGTTCGTAGCGGCCAAGTTGTACAAGCGTTGATAATGTTAGCAGCAAAATCGGTAGTAGAATAAGGATTATCATCGTTTTACTCAATAAATTCTCCATATTAACTGTAAAAAAAGATTTCGTTCATTATAATGGCTACCATTAATCCTATTCGATGCGAAATGGTTTCTAATTGAGTTTAGAGAACCGTAACTTTAACCATGAAGAAGGGTACACAAAAGTTCAAAGCAAATAACCATGGTGATAATCTATTTATTAAATATACAACTGAGTATTAGGGACTGAGTCCTGTTGCATATTACTGAATGTATCTTTAAAATTTTAATGACTGTAAGCCTTCAGTTTGTTTGGTGTAGGAGGGTCAAGAATGATTTGTATTTTGTACGTATTTGCACTTCTCACTTAAAATTTGGAATTACACCAGTATGTGACCCATTTTACTTTCGAGCAGCATGTAACCTGTCTGTATTTTCCAGCATTTCAAGGCTTAATTTTAGATTCACCAAATTTCGAAATCTCATTCAGGTCTACTATATTTACCTGCTTTCACAGAAGTCAGCGGACAAAAATAATCTCCAAACGTTTTATTCTACTCAGTTTAGTCGATAACGGACAAAATGTTTTAAAGAGCATCCAGATCAACTTTGAATATGATAATGGAGTCTCCCAAGAGTGTATAAGATATCAAAGTGTTTGTAAACCTCTAGAAATGTACAATATTTTATGTTGATGAAGTTCTGTTCTCTGAGCTAGATGGTTTGGTCGTGGAGCTTTCATCGTTCTTCTGAACGACATCATCAGCACAAACTTCAGATAGAAGTGAAGTGTTCGAATTTCTCCATATGCGTCTCACAGCTTTTTTTGTACACCTTGATATTGATTGGTCCTTATTCACCTTAAATTTGTTTACTTCTTTGTTTTGGTCGAGCCTTCCATCGGTTTGATTTCCGTTCCTATGTTTGTGCATAATTTTCCTGATTGGTTGATAAATTGGATCAATTTCAATGTGCTTGTTGATTGCTGATTGACCTGAGTGTCAGGCTTCTAAAAATCCTCTGGTGTTTTTGGAATTCCCTCTGTCCAAGATTTCCACATTTTTCCAATCAAATGAGTGTCCGCAGTTGTCCACATGTATTGATATAAGTGAGGAAGTATCACGGCGTTTGATTGCTAATTGATGTTCATGTAGGCGAAGATGAAGAGGGCGTCCTCTGTAGTGTTTTTCGCAGTTGCACAATTTATTTTGTAGATGATGTTTGATTTGTCTTCTTTTGTTATTTAATCCTTTGGTTTGCATAGGATTGATTGTAGTGATTTTATCGGTTTGTGTGCCACACCTATCCCGAAGGTTTTCAGCAGTCGTTGCGGTTTCTCATACGCCTTTTATGTACGGCAGGGCGATCCTTTTGTTGATTTCTGTGCTTGACTTGGGTTCTGATGCTGCGTGCGGCTGGTATTTTTTTATGTTGATTGGGTAGCCATTCTTTTGAAATACATCTTTCAGGTATTTCTCTTCATTTTCTCGTGCCACCAGTGTATAGCTGGGAAAAACCACGTGATTCTGAGAAATCAAAAATAACTCACGATTTCACGGAATAACATACAGCAGAAAGAAATCAGTCTGAAAGACTACTGCAGATATAAATTCAAGCTCAGTTAGAAGGCAAATACATACATGTCACTAATTGTTTAGTCTTCAGTAGACGAATACACTTTTTAATAAATTGGTAGATAAGCTGACCTAGTCGTTCTGTTACAAAATACATGATGCTTAAAAATAAGACTCGAAACATATAAGATACAGAATTTCAGTACAACAATATCAAAGCGTATGCTACCATAAATGTGTTGATCAGAATATTTAAGCAACAAATATTCAACAAAATGACATTTTAGCTACGGAGATTACTTTTTGACGATTTTACTCACTAAAGTTGTGGAGTCGTATTAATAATTATTCCTTGATATATGGTGGTTTACAACAGAAACAGAGGGCTGTTGCATCATTATCAGTACCAAAAAGCCAACTACGAGTCAAACTTACGTAAAGACTATACACTTGACAATTGTAAGGAAGATGTATTCGGAAATGGATGCATATCAATTTATAAAGTGAGATATCGGGATAATTGTCGCTTGAAATATGTGAGAAGATAATGGATAGGAAATGAACACGTGTGGTGGAATAACTAATAAGAGAGGTTGTTAGGACCATGGTGAACTGACAGACTGGATATTTCACTTCTGTAGATCAGGCTTGAGCTAACGGATCGCCAAAACTTCATCTATGAACAGGTTTTTTTCATTCGATTTTCCTTCGAATCACTACACATTTGTAACCCTAGCTCTATCTTCAACAGCTACAAAAATCTGTACACGACACAACACGGGTATAATTAGACAATATCCGACAAAAACATGGAATATTGGATTTTCCAAAAGATTCACTGACAGAAACTTGAAGTTAAAATACCTGTATGAAAGAACCCCTGAAGTACCAAGGATACTGTTCATTAACATTGATTTTGAAGCAAATACAGCCACAGCAATTTTATAAACCTGATTGTGTAAATCCCTGAAAATTTTTATCCAGCTGAGCTAAGAATTGTTTTCCAGAAGATATCTGGCTGAATTTTTCGAGGGCCAACCGCTGTTATCTCCTAAAATTGGCACACAAGTATCGAGAATTTACGTCATTTCACCAACCTACTTCCAGCGCAAATTACCGAGGTTATCGGATAAGACAAATCTGGTGTCACGAAAAACCTCATGCATCGATACAAAGCCTATGAATTGATGTTAGGAAAATCTCAAACATAATCAACTACCTGCTACTTGAAAAACCCTTCATCTAATAAGTGAATTGAGAACCAGTTGTATTATTCTCACCGAGATAACCGATGTCTTTATATTAATATAATAGTCACACTACTATATAGAAATGAGCAAATAAAATCTTATCGGGTAACGGTATGATTACTTATCCGTCATTAGAAACAGCTACTTTTCCTACACACGTACATAGTGAATGACCACGCTGAGCAGTTAGTAAGGAAACACAAAGATGTAGTCACACATCTTTCTGAATGATTATTTCGGAATGTCGTTGACATCAGTTGGATATACTCCAATAACGCTTTGCGTCATAACAAATCAACCACAGATGAACGCAATTTAGAACAAACGGGAAGTTTCCTTAGCAGTCAAGTGAATAGTAGAAGTCAGATTTGACCGATCAGATAGATATTCTGAATACTCAAAGCCACAATTCGTCAGTAAACAGTCCAGTTCACGATCACTTATTTGGGCTGCTTCGTTTTTATATACGGTCTTCGCCTTATCTGTAACTAACTTAGAATGATTCTAACGAAAATTCAAAGCTTTTGGGTGCTCTCCGTTTTGTCTAGATCTCAAGTACCCGTAAACTACTAGTAACAGTATTCAATTCCGAGAATCATCGAAACCGTTATTACTGATAAAGACTCAGATAATTACAGTTAAACAATCAACAAAGAGCACGCGTCAGATGTCCCTTGGCCCAAGTCCCAAATCATGTGTTCCTGCAGATAGAGATAACCCAGCAGTAACTACAATGAAAAAGACTAAGCATTGAGAAAATTGTCCAAAAACATAGGACGGATAGGCATGTACGAACCGACACTAGAATTCAAGATGAATGGTAAGTGCATCAGCAGCACTGTGAACGACTCGCTCATATCTCCCAGTCTCTAACCTCTACCTATCGGACTTCTATTAGGCAATCAGCTCCACCAACACCGCTCAACCCATCGGTCACTGACTTAGAAAACTGATAGGTAGTCATAGTTCGACAGCCCCTAGCATCCCTTCAACTAGCACGCCGCAGCAGACAGTGGTTAGACAAACATAGCACACCGCAATGGACACGATTAATTAAGATCCACATCCTCATTAACCGATTTGGCAGCTGTCTCAACTTCTGTCAAACTACCCAATAACCAATGTTTGGATCATGTATAGGATACCAGCCAAAAGTAGTCATCCACTTGGTCGGGATATAATTACACTTGTTCAATCACATAAACTTAAGCAGTGTGTTCAATGCCAAAGACCTCATTTGAAGCAATCCAGTAAATGTACCGTTACTCGAGCTTCCACATAAATATTGATCATACAAAATCGTGGCACGTGATCTTATGTCAAATAGCACCAATTTTGGTTGGGCAGGTTCAGCATAAGATCCCGAGCTGTATCATAATGGTTCCTAAAGTTACATGTTCGCCTGAATAATTTTATTTATCCCACACACGTTATGTATACTGCAGAAAGCACAAAAACCCTTCGGAAGTCACCAGACTGAACAGTACCACTATTTCTACTAGGTAAGAGAGGGGAGCTACCAGTCTAATGAGACAAGTGAATCGTTTACACCAGCAGCTTCGTTAGTTTACATGTTATTCAGTCAGCAAACCATTGTTGATACGCATCTAAATGACTAGCTTTTTTCTCGGAATAGCATACGCAAAACGAGAGGGTAGAAATTGTCTATTCCTACAACGACAATTTACAGCATAGGAGTAACAAACATTGCAACTCTACTTTTTAGAAGTCAATGTGCAGAGCATAATGACAAAGGTATATCTTGACGAGATATCAATGAAATAAGAAAGCAAACTAATTGGTACTACCAATCTTAGACGCCCGTAAAAAGCAAAGCTACAGATTGCAGGAATAATAATGACAGAACGTCTGCCATCTACCAATTTAACAGACCAAAATGTGGCAGCTGTGTGGAAAACCTTGAAAGAAATGTTCACATTGACTAGAATTCTTTCGACTATTTGGATTTTGAAGACTGCCCAATTCGACGTTGTAAATGTGTAGGCAAGATTCTCAGAAAATAACCAAATTATGGGGATTACCTTAGTTATTATACTGTCTTATTATTAGAACAAAGGGATTATCATTGACGACAACCAACAGACAAATCGTAACTCAATGACAACCTGCTTGTTAGCCAGATTTATACTATACATTTGAGTTTTCCGTAACAATAAGCTAATTCTTAGGGGAACATGTAAGCTGTTTACACATGTTAAGAAAAATGACAGTTGTGTTCCGGCACTTATACATTTATTACATACAACGATTAGTTCTCCTCTTCATCGTCTGTATCTTCATTTTCGAAGTTGAAGAACCGAAATTCATAAGAATCCTTTGATTTCGCTACCACGCGAAGGAAATCTCGCAGTTTGTGACGTTTGAGAAATTTCTTTGTCAGATACTTAAGATACCTGAAGATATAAATTATCAAGTCTCACAACTCACCTTTTCGAAAAAGGGATGTTTGCTGTGACATGTATGGTTGATTTGTCACGTTCAATGTGAACATCTTTCCCAAGATTATTAAGCTTATTATCTACTTTTATGTGTTCCTTTAAATATTTTTCCTGAAAGATTGAAATTCACAGAAGTCATATTGACATACAAGTAAACTAGGGCTAACTATATCTTCATCAATAACTCCGGGTGAAATGCATATACTGAACTTGAGGACTTGCTTTTTCTTTGAGGCTGGTTTATGCGTCTTCGGTTTGGGAACGGACTATAGAACATAAATAAAATAACACACAGTACTTTTGCAACCATGCTGAAACCTGCAATTGCCCGCCGTAGTGAAAGAAACTGTTTGGCCGCCAAAACAGTACAAACTGAAGTAACCAAACTTCAAACCTCAGTTTTCAGGTTCTTGTTTTAATGTCGAGTTAGGGATGAAATTCTAAAATCCTTTGCTAGTAAGATAAGTTAGGCGTCTATGTTTTACTCTTGAAGTCTCAAAAAGCACTATGTGTAGAGCTAATCAATTTTTTCGGGCGCGCATTGAAAGTTGATTTATCTACTTTTACAAAATGTCAAACTCACATGTTAAACAAGGACTTACAGCTTGAACATATCTTTCCAGCTTATATCTCATTCTGGTCGTTCATTCTGCAGTGAACGTGTTCGATTACAAGTTGGTAATTATTTATCCTTGAAATTTTAGCCGCATCAGCACAAAAGTGAACATTTTTCTTATGGTTAGGACTCATTTTTACATAAAATGTCATTGTGAGATGGTATCAAGGGCTCTGACGCCTCATCTGACTATTTGCGTTTGCATGTCTGATGTAAATGTTGACAAATGTTGCTCCATTGATGGACATTGATTGTAGTTAGAGGAACACACAATAGCGTGTACGTCTACCTAGAGTGCATGTATATCTGCATTCATATTTGAGCGTAATCAACATCATAATCACACAACCTATGAAGTTCGAGGAACCTAGAAAAGTGACTGAATGCAATTCACTGAATTTGTATTTTACTCTTGGTGAGGGCGATAACTTCAATCAGCCCGTGTTTGTGGGGACAGAACATTTTGTATGTATCAGGCTCCTCATGATTGAGAATAAGTCAATCAATCTGTGATATAGATTGTCTTCCTACGCTCACTACTAAGACTCATGTTTCCAATATTTTTCTGGATTAGCTATTCTACTAAGACAACCTATAACATGCTAACTCGGACTTTTACACTAGGATTGTGTGGCTGGCATCGGACAAACAAAAAAAGGAAAAGTTAGACAACAAAAGATATAGTCATTAGTATTCTTAACACTTCACCTTCTATATACACACCCTTCTAATAAACCGCTTCCCTTGTACCAACATTGACTTCCCTTCATCTGAGCTTACTCCAACTTGTTAAACATCACAACTCATTGTTCTTTATTAGTACATTCTCTAATATGGAGCCTCTGACTTCATTTCACTCTAACAAGACATAATATGAATTTATTCTAATTTATTACACCTCTGTCCGTTCTACTACACAATCTTAAGCAACGTTTGGTGTTCATATCCAAGTGCCTTGCTGCTCTTTCGTTTCTCTTTTTTTCTTCTTCAGAATCTTGCTCTGAGAGCACAGCTATGAAACTTCTGACGTTTGGAACAAACTTGACGTACGCGTCCTCTCAAGGTCATAGTTTACAGTAAGCACTCTACGACTTCACTTTATAACAACTATGAACTTAATAAGTTGGGAAACATTTTGTGAACCAACAAATGTTGTAATTTACAGATCATGCCTGTAAAAACGTTGTGTACCTGCACATGCAGAAATATATTATTATTATTTTGTCGGACGCCTGAAGTAAAGTGTTTAATACGCTTTAGCAGAGGCCCGGAAACTATAGTATGTTAGAGCTTCATCGGGAGTTCATCATGATGCATAAAGCAAAAGGCTTTACTGAAATCAATGTGGATAGTATCTGATGGTTCTCCGTGGATGGATTTTGATTTTTTGCTGTAGCTACATCCGACTTGTTGTGATTGATGTCTCTATATTTGTTGATAAATCTATATGGATGACAGTTGTTTCATAGATACTTTGTAATGTTCATAAATTTATCCTCTACTATGTAAAATAGTGTTTCGTACAATGTTTTGTTGTAACTGATTGGCTGAAATTTACCAAACGTTCGGAATGAACAGTGTAGGTATGCAAGCACACAAAATGTGTGACAAGGAAGAAGTTTCTAATTACCTATCAGTTTCCTTACACACTGCAATAGCGAAGAAAACGAAAATTCAGCAAAGAATATACTCGAGAAAATGTTCCCCAATGACTCTCTTGGGACTGTATGAAAGCAATGAAATTTCCAGGCAAATCGTGTTGTTAAACATCCGGATACTTAAGGAAAAATGACTTTCCGTTGCTTTACGGTACCCCTGTTTTTACAGTAGTCAGCAGAGCTAACCATCAAACTCGTTGCCTGAATCTAAAGTCAACGAGTAACTGTAGGCGATTAATCAGGACTGCCCGATGCAGAAATCACCGGCCACCGACGTTTAGTACACGTGACTCGATTATTACGTAATGTAAAATCGTTCAATGGCATCAAAATTGCATTACTCTGGTGTACGGAAGTAAAACTGAGATATCAAACTGTATTACATCATTCAGAATCCTCTTCGTACTAATAAATCGCTAAGGTGTGAAATGTTCAATTTTTAAAAATTTACATGTTTATTCACGCTTTGTTCAGCATATGGGTTTTACAATTTTTGCCTTGATGGATTTGGACAACAGCATCACCAGATAATAACTGCCAAATATTTCACAAACGCTTGAGTAAAGGGTAAATCGTTCTAGTATTTGACCAATACAACATTCACGATCTTTAGTAAATATCCCGTCGTGAAGGTCTAGAAATTCCAGTCATATATGAACTACAGGAAAATCTTTTTGAAACTGAGTTCACAGGTAATTAATAAACCCCACTGGACACTGAAATCGAAGTTATGATTTTTACAGGGTTTTTAAACTGAAATCGAATGGTCAGGAATCATGGCCTTATTTAGGCACGGCACATGTGGAACTCTTCTGCTCCTTCCGGATGGCAATCTTATTAGCCTCACACTCATCTATCTCAGTATAAGTCCGAATATCGTGTTCCCTCATAGCTATCTTAGTCCTATGCTTTATTTGCACTCTATATTATATCTTAAATTTGTTGATAACAGCATCATTTAAGTACTTCGTAAAAATAACGCCAACGGCAAGCTGATTATTCAATAGTCTGAACCCAATTGTGGATACGTCTCAACACTTCGTAATGAAGTTTTCAAATCCAGCTCCTCACTACCCTATCAACGACATTCCCGAAATAATGGAAGTCTTTCTCAAATGATACAAGAGTGATCTCCACCCAAGAAAAAGGTCTAATACATATAATCCGTTTTTCTAGCTGCATCATAATTTGTAGCTTTTCTTGTTTACATCTACCACTGTGCTCAATGTTCTGGCATCCCATTTTCAGTCCTATTCTCACATGTGCGTTTTCCACTAATTATTTAAACAAGTCGTCAGTGTATAACCGTCTAAAGAGTTCGTCTTAGTCGTTGGTAACTTTTATTAAAAATACTTAGGGAAGGTGTGCTAACAATGTATATATATATATATATGTTACAATAACGATCAATCAGTCAGAGTTTATGCGGTGTAAAAAGACTTGTGCTCGTAGAAAGTGAGCATCGCGGAGTATTCAAACGTCATTAGTTGCCTGTACTTGATCGAGAGCCTTTACCTAGTGACCCTTTCGAAGGAATGAACGATGCAAAACTCGAAAACTGACAAATTATTTGATTTGAAAATTTGCTTACTACAAAGTCCTTCAATACGTATGTTTATGTATCAATTCACTTTGCACCTCTTTTTTAGTTCAGTAGGTACGGTAATTCCCAGAGATCCGTTATTTTTTTACAAAAACGTGAAATACTGGTGAACAAATAATTTTCTACGTAATTAGTCAAAGAGAAACAAAGAGAAATGTGATAAGCAGAAGTATTGGAATTATCATGCAATCTAGAACTACCAGAAATAACGCAGCTAAGACCATATAGAACTTGGTGGGAACAAACGAACGTATAGTATTTGGAATACGAAATCGGGCAGTCATCTAGTACAAAGGAATAATAAATACATACGAACACTACAACCGACAGTTCATAAATTGGTATCTAGGTTTCTGTAAACAATTGTCTGTCTTCTCCTAAGGCTCATTATAGGCCTGTCAGATTTTGCATTGGATACCAACTCTGTGTAATCTAGAATACATTCATTAGTATTAGAAATAAAAACTGAAATCGGAACGGAATCACCTGAGTTCTGGAATTGTATACAATCACCATGTTGGTTGTGTACTGAGATCTCTGATATCTAGAATTTGAAACACGAATTTCCAGACACCATCCATCACACAAAATAATGTTGGATCTTCACATCCATACTTCTCATATTGATCAGAGGATTCACTAGAAAAGACTCCATTCTAAATATAAAGAACATTTCATAAGAAATCATCCGAATCTTATTCAAAATCGAGCTCATTTAGGACTCATGCTTCGTAATGAACCAGTTTCCTACAAAACAGATGCATTATGAGCTCAACTAATATTTGATAAGAGATCAGAATTTGATTTTTCCGAAATATTTTCCCAAAATGTATCAGGAATATCACTGAAGACTAATGGATCAATATAAAAATCAGCATCTATCAAAAGTGCATCAGGTTTTCTATCAGGACTTGATTCACTCAACATATCTTCCTCAGATTTGTAAGTAATTTCGTCAGAAATATATGAATCTTTAAGACAAACCATATCTAGCACAGTAACATTAGAAATCTGATAAGAAGCCGATTGATTAAAAACTTTGGTCTCACAATGATTCTGAGTTTCATTTGACTCTGGTCTGCTATTTGACTCTATACCGCTTTTCGAAGTCGTGGATAAGGATAAATGGTAATCAGAAACACCCAACTTAATAAAATCACAATTACGATTGTTAGTATTAGTTGCAGCGAAATGAGCGGTAGTATCAGAACCTGCCTAATCTCACCGCATTTGGAGCATTTAGAATTACGGAATACACATGAATTACATGGGTGGAACTTGCCACAGAACAATGTTTTACCGAACTTGTGCTCATTTTCGTAATCTACTTCGCAACTCCTAAATGAATTGTTATCTGCATAACCTCATGTACGCGTTGGATTGAAATGATGTGGTAAATTGATAAATTTCTTGATGCCCTGACGAATCGTTTT